GCCAAGAGGAAAAGGGAGTGAAAACAAGGCGTAATGAAAAATAAATAACTGTCAGTAGAGGTGGATCAAGAGCCTCTACCCCTGCCCTTTAAGTATACATCTGTAGGACAAATCCATCACCAGTTTATTATGGGGGGCTGGCTTGTAACTTTCCATTTGCCTGTGTGACTATGTCAGGCAACCAGCAAGGCTGCTAACCTCTTCAGCTTCCATACTCTGGTGTGGTCAGTGTAGGGGGGCGAGTAAGTGAGGGAGTAAGTGAGAAAGACAGAAGCAGCTGTGATTTAACCTCAGTGAACCTGACACCAAACGTGTACGATACCTGAATACAGTTTTTTGTTTTATGAAAATATGGAAAACAAAGATCAAAAAGACAAATTCTGTTTTCTTCTCTCTCATCAGTTTTGATTATTTCTGAAGAGGGGTATTTATAGCATGGGTATGAATAAGGATTTTAAAGTCTGCTAATTGTAGAATCTTGCTAATGGTCTGAGTCTTCGAGTACTTTAAAATCATAAAAACACTTTACGTCCTTTAAATGTACACAGCAATCTTCTGGTGCAGGTAGACTGGTGGCTTTGAGGCGAGAGATCTGTGCCAGCAATGGGAAGGTTGCTGGTTCAAATCCCATAAATGCCTGGAGTGCTCCTGCTCTTCTCAGCCTTCAGCAAGGCTCTTAACCTGCAATTGCTTCATCCTGGGTATGACGTTAAGGTGTTCCAACTTACTGGGAAACTTGGGGGTTGGTGGCAGGATTGGCCCTTCAGCCACCGGAAAAAAACCTCACACTGGTCCATCTGGACTAGTGTGGTGCTGAGGTATCACCTGCCACATGGATCTTATCCCTGAGGTGGTTTGTTGTGTGGTGGGTGCAGCAATGCACTGTCAGCGTATCTCCTTATCTCTACCTCTCTCTTCCCGTACAGAACCACTGGGAGCCTGGAGTCTATCGAAAGCAGCTTAGGGTACAGGACAGGAGAACAGCTTGGAGGTGCCAGTTCATCACATGGGGCAATCAACTAACTCCATGCCATTAGACTGCAGGAGGAATTGGGAATACTCAGTGGAAACCTGTGCATCACCAGAAGGGTGAACAGGCTCAAAAAGGGAGTTGAACCCATGACCATGATGGTGTGAGATAACAGCTTTATGCACTGAATCACCGTTGATTCTCACAGCTGCAGGACTGTGGCTTTGGTTCCTGCCCCTGGCTGTGTGTGTGTGGAGCTGCCATGTTTCTCTCTCCGCTGGTGTCTCTGATTTGCCCATAATGTGAGTGTCTCCCTGCATCCCAGCCAGGATCTTCCCAGCCTCTGATTCCTGAGATATGCTCTGTGGTCACCATGACTCCATACTGGATAAGCAGTTATAGGAAAAGGTTTTGTATTTTAAGGGCCTATAAAGTTTGTAACATCCACCTTAAGATAAACCTCTCTGTGTTGTGGATGGGTGAAGACCTGTGGCAGGTTTTGAATGCGTAACGTATGTGGGCAACAGGAAGATCTCAAGCTGCCTGGTGGCATTTTACCAGGCCCAAGAGAATAAGGACTGACAGGTGGAGAATGTAGCCTTGAGAAACACCTGGACAGTCACAGGGTGGGGTCCTGCTGAAGCTGCGCAAGGACGCTAATCATTCTGTTAGCCAATAAGGTGTCACACTGACTCAAAAGTAACCATAAAAATATTTTGGATCCTGGTGTTGAGCGCATCATTAGTCGTAGTTTTGGTTCTATATTTAGCATAAAAACCAGTAGTGAAAAAACTCATAGCGTTTAAGGCCCTCATGAAGAAAAAAAAAAGAATTTTCAAGAAATCTTGGATTCATAGAGTGATGCAAAAACTTCCCAGGTTAAAATGATCAATGTTAGAATGTTAAATTAACACTTCTTAGTAGTTTTGCTGTCTCATGTCGTCATTTTCATCTATCTAATAGGTTGCTAAAGATGTGCTAACAAGAACAGGGGAAATTAGGAGCCTTCCAGAGTGTTCCTTGTTCAGGGGGGCTTATGGTAGCATTAGTAAGACCAACGCAGCACATTTACTGCAGAACTCTTCGTGAAAAATAAAAACACAGGAAAACAACCAGAATGAAATAAGAATAATCAAGATCTTGAGGCTGTTCTCGGCCACTGTGTTTGGTATGTCTGCTTGGGTGTGGTTGGGTGTGCTTGGGTGTGGCCAAGCCCGAGTATCTTAATTTAAAGTAGAAGATAGCCCTGTCCTCTTGTTCAGCGATTCCTGGAAATGGAGACCATATCAGGGCTTGTGGAATTAAATATCACACAGTAATCAGCTGCTCTTTTTCCACATTCATCCAGATGTATCCATGTTTAGCGCAGCTGTTGCCAAAACGTGATGCTGATCAGTAATGTGGCCCAGGGAAGGCCGGGTCTTCTGCCCCATCTGAAGGGCGGCGAGGATGAAACGCTCATGATCCAGAGATGTTTCTTCATGAGAAGATGGGAAGCAGGAATGATTCCTGGGCTGTCCCATCCATGTGTGCCCCCCCCCACCTCCCATTTACCCCCAATCTGATAGTTCACAGTATTTCCGTATCTCCCGAGTATAACGGTTTCACGCTCGTGGGTGTATCACATCGGGGCCTGGCCCGGGGTGAATCTATGGTAATACCGATAGTCAGGCACGTCAGTGGCTTATCATGGTTTGGACGATTTATCCCAGGAACTTGTCTGTCATGATGTCCTGTGAGGGACAGCCTGCGGCGGGGATGTGTCAGTACAGAATAACTGCGATGCCCAGAGCAGCTACTTACACCTTATCTGTACTTTCACACGATGCTCTGATAACGCATCCGGAATGTCCCATTGGTGCTTTATCAAGTCCATATTTCCAAGCCAAATGCACTGAGGCCCACGCTTATGATGAAAGGTAGGTTGCACTGCTAACCCTCAAGTCAACCCTGCACTGGGAAAATTTTGTCCAATAAAAAGGTGATCGAAATCACACTTATTAATCACCTGTATAGTTATACATATCCTACATACCTTATTCCTATATAACACTTTATATGGACTGCTCAAGAGTAAAAAACATATAGCCCCACAGATCACATGACTTTCAATAACCAAAGCAAGGACATATGCAGGTCCATCATATAGACAAGATGTGGTAACTGGCTGCAGGTTTCAGCCGTTGGTCTTCCATAAGCACTTAACCAGTGCTGGGTTGCAGTCAGTCCATCCCAGGAAGAGGCAGGGGAAACTCTGGGTGGAATACCAGAACCCTTTCATGTTTTTAGACTGGAGGCATGAAGTCCGTAAACATGAAGCCCAGGTGGGAATCGAACTCAGCACCTGGGCCATTTGGTCTTATGAGCTGAGGCCTCTGGGGTTGCTGATGGATGGCCTCAGCCCTGCACCACAGCTTCCCCTCCCAGTGGCAGTTAAGCTCATTACAGGCAGTGACATATAGAACACAATCCATTGTGAAATATGTCTACTGTATATATCAAAATGGTTACAGTTTAAATCTAGCTGAGCATACATTCATCTTCTAACCATTCATCCCGGTCAAGGTCACTGAGCCTGTCCCAAGCAGCACAAGACTGCATTGCACCATGACCCTCTGCCCACAGTCAGGCATTATTTGATTGCTTAATATTTCATTTATTGAAATGCTGGGTATTTGTTCTTTCCAATCCCATCCAGGACAGTCCACTGCCTTGCGCCCTGACTGGGATGTGATCCAGCAGCCCCAGAAACACTGTACTGGAGGTGCAGTTTGGAGATAGATGTATGGACCTTACTTTATTACCTCCATCTTCCATGACCTCATATCGAGGAGAGGATCTGGGTGAGCCTGGAGCCCCTTTCTGGAAACACAGGACACATATACATTCACTCACAAAGGGATGTTCTAGATACCCGCATGTTTTTGGATGTAGGAGGAAACCTGCATGAATGCGGGAGGAACGTGCAGGGTTCTAGGTGACGGTGCTGCCCCCGAGCCTCTCTGCTTCCTGTCGTATAAGACCTGGATCAATAGACATTCTGTAACAGCCTTATCAAGCCTGACTGACATTAAAATCAAAGCGAAATCTAAAGAAGGGAATTTCCATCTTTCGCATACCGAATCCCGGAAAGGCTGAAACCTTTGGTCAAGTGGAAACAAACAGATAGTCGCATACTTGGAATAGCCTGTTTTTTTTGGGGGGGGGCATACAGATTACATTCAGGGCATCCTCAAACCTCCACTCTATTTCCTCCCATGTCCAGAATATATGGGCAACTGCAGCCTCAGATTATTTAACCAATGACCTCACTTTCCGTGGCCTTTGGCCATTTGTGCTTTGGAGGCGTAGAGGCGTATGCAAAACTGCAGACAGCCTATTATCTCTGTTTTTCTTCCTGTGACATTTTATATCCAGGTGCACTGATATGTTTCGGGGGGGTGGGGGGGGGGGGTTACAAGCCAAAGGATTAGCAGTAGTCACGTCTGTGGATTTCACCTTCCTCTGAGAGTTCAGCTGCCTTATGAAAGTCTGTGGGTGCCCCTATGGGTGAAACTGTTCTATTAAAATTAATTGTGATTCACTGTCTTTATGGAGAATTTTTAGTTTCCTAAAAAATTGGTGCCATTTAATTTTAAATGAACCAAATATTTGGCCTACAAAAATCCCCCCCCCCCCCCCCCGAACAAAAAGCCCCTTTGGGTTTGCCCTTTACTTGATGTGTCCCAGTCCCAGTTAACGATAAGGCTTGTTCCTATAAACCAAATAAAAATGACGTGTCGGTTTTGATGTAATCTTAATTCAAAATGCACATTAATTCATGGAATTGGACAAATCTTTTCCCTCTTTCCCTTTACGCACAATCGGGAGACCCAGTGAGGGAAAGACAAAAAGATTCCTGGAATGTTAAAGCTTCAGTACCGCAGGATGCCGAGGAAGAGAGGGAGGTGTGGGTGGGCGGGGCTTTGCATATGACATCAGCGAGACTATATATCTCGAGTAGGGCAGCCAGTCTCCAGACAAAGTCAGCTGCAGCTCAGCAGGCAGCAGTCGGAGATTTACCTGTCTTGTCTGGATTTACCTGCTCTTCTCTCACACGCACCTTGAACTCTCCAGCAATGGCAGCCTGCTTGCATTTTCTTGCAGTTGTGACCCTCATCCTCTGCCTGTCCCTTCAGGAAGGTAAGACCTCAGCTGGGACACACCTGTGTGTAACACCTCTGAGAACATTTTAGCAGCATCTAGGAGCTTTTCATGTCAAAGACAAATACGCACATAATGACATATTTGTAGTGGGTAATTCTAACATTCCAGTGTAGCTATATTGTATTTCTTTTAAGAAATGTTAGGGATGTTTATTTGCAGAAAGACTGTTTTAAGTACATTCCTTCTGTCACAAAACTTGCACGCCAGGTTCATTTACATTGTGCAATGCCTTGCTTCTCATTGCCTATAAATGTTGAGGCACCTCTGTGATCCTCGAGAATCAAGTGCTGATTTGCATATTTGGCGCAGCGTGGGAATGGAGACAGTGTTTGTGCCGAGTAACAAGCACGTGTGCTTGCGCTCCTCCTGCCAAGCATGTTGTCAAGACATCATTTTCAGACAAAATAATATGGGGACGCAGCTGGGGGTGGGGGGCAGCTGTCAAATCAGGGGTTACAGGTATGCTGCCCCTGGAATCATTTGCGTTGCCACTCTAGTTTCTGGAATTTGCTGCACTACAGATCCAAAGCGAGAGAGAGAGGTAATAGGGGTCGATGTCTTTGTAGCCAGAGTGACATTTCATAACGTTACTCCCAGCAATAATGTATCAAATCTATCAAACAGTTCTCACCGTGCTGGCCTGCAGTCAATCCACAGCAATGTCAATATTTATGCTTTGATCTCTAGGTTTGCTCAGTCCCGTGTCTGGCTGTCTAGGTGCAATAAACAAAGATGGATAGAGAGTCAGTCGGGACACATGACTCAGCAGAAAAATCAACATGCGTGACTCAGCTGTTTTCGCGTTCGTCTTGCGTGACCGTGCGGTGCCTCCGTTCATCAGGTCCATGTTGGGCAGCCAGACATAATTCAGAATATTAATAAACCCCCCCCCCCACCTGTCTCCCTATCTTTTGCTCCCTTCAGGGTTTGGACACCCCCTTTCGCGACAGTCTGAACTCCCTCCCAAGCTGACCCCCCAGCACGTGAGAGTCAAGCGCTGCTCCTGCAACAACCAGATGGACACTGAGTGTCACTACTTCTGCCACCTGGACATCATCTGGGTCAACACACCCAGGTAAGCCCCGAACGGTATGTGGAGATGGGCTGTGTAACTCAGAGGAGCTCAGGAGACCACTGATGTTTCTCGTGTAAATTAGTTTAATTTTTATTTTCGTTTTTGTTGATTTTTTTTTTAACTTATTTATGTGGTTTAGCAAAGGGCCTAAATATAAAATTACATTCTATGCAATTCTTATGGTTATTGAGACATATTTCTGATTAGTTATTGAGTTAATTAAAATACTTTTACGGTGGAATGAAATTAGAGCTTCTTTAAATTTGAACTTGATGGAAAAAAGCTAAATCTTCATCTTCTTCACGGTTTCATAGCATTATTTACTACCTGTACCAGCTAACTGAGCTTTCTCGTTAGGAATAGTAACGGGTTAATTGTCATAGTTAAGGCTGCCAGTTATATGGCCATAAATATTGTTACTTAACATCTGATAAGAGCTGTATGTTTTCTTAAAAGCCTGCAGTGTTTCAGAGACCAGGCTCGCTGCATGAGAGACACTGTTGTTTTCCCTGAGATTTAACGTTGACGCTCGTTTTCTTCTTTGCGGTCCCAGTAAGATGACTCTGTACGGCCTGGGCAGCCCCCTGTCCCGTCGCCGTCGCTCCGCCCAGCGCTGTGCCTGTGCCAGTCTCTCTGACCGCACCTGTTCCAGCTTCTGCCGCAGGAGGTGAGCCCGGTTTTGACCTACATCCGTGCCAGCAAAGGCTGGGCTCAGCCGAATGGCCGACAAAACTCTGACAAACCCGTCGTATCACCGATTTTGTTTCTAAATCGAAAAATGTCGCATAGGATTACATTATTGTATCGTTATTTTTCTAGAAAAAAAAATGTTTAGTGAGGGAGTGTCATTTCAAGGAATTTCTTTCCACAAACTGTTTCTGCCTGAGGGCACAGATTAGACCAAGACAGGCCCTGTTGAATAACAGCTCTTCAGCAAAACAAAAACCCGAACATGAAGTGGCTGGCGGTGGAGATTAGGGTGGGAAGGTGTGTGAGTTTCGTGGCACGCCATTGGGAGATCTGAGTCAGGGGTGCCATTGAATCCCTGCCCCGATTCGCCGTTCCCGGTTGACGGGCCGCGTTACCCAGATATTATGAAACTATAGTGGTGATGGAGAGTCGATTTAACCTGCCAGGCGATGGCATTGTGGAGGAGGGGGCTGGTATCTCATGTGCAGCCACTCCCTCAGTTTTGAAGTCCACAGCGCCAGGCTGACCTTGTCGTGACTGTCCCCTTCTCTGTCTCCTCAGCTCTGAGAACGTCTCCACCTGGGAGCCAAGTTCCATCTCAGGCCGTTCAGGCTCCAGCCTGCTGGCGTCACTCAGGTGAGTTATGGTTTGAGTGGTGTGCAGGTTCCCCAACCTGCTCACGTACAGAATGTTCGTTGCCCAACACCCTAATTGATGTCACTCAGCCGGGACCCTCTCCGTCTCCTTAGGGATGCAGCCAGGACCAACACGCAGGTGGTCAGCTGGGGTGTCTCTCCCAGGAAGAAGTCCCCGGAACCACAAGGGCCCCGGAACAGATAGGGAGCCGTGAAAGGAGGATTAGTGCGGAGAGCGAGTGCCCGATCAAAACGACGCAGCGCGTGAGTCACGTGCCTGACAAATGGCCAGGAGAACAAGGGGAGGAGGAGTGAGGCAGCGGCCCAGAATGAGGAGGGGGGCCAGGAAAGTGCCTCTTGATGAAAGCTGGAGAAGGTTGGCTGACAAGGGATCCCAGGCCCCAGAACCATGGGCCGCCAACATCTCCCAAACGTCACAGTATCTGGACTGGGTCAGAGCCAGTGTGCCTGCAAAGCCCCGGCTTACACATCCCTGTCGCTCCATCACCGGCTCAGCGGACAGCTCCTCCTGATCTCAGCATGGACATCCCTTGCAGGAACAGGGAACATGCAGCTTCTGGACTGGTACCTCAGAGCTATCTTGACTCTGATGGTGCCTATAGACGTTTGCAAAAAATCTGAAGATCTCAACATACTTGCTATTCGCTTTGAATCCAGTTGAGATGAACTGACAACCCAGATGCCATGCAGACAAAAGACATAAAGACCCAGCCATACAGAGGCCTTCTCTATTTATGGGGGCCATCTAAGCACTTAAATTCTGTTTAGTGACATTTCATTTTAATACACCAGTGTGATTTGTTTAAACTAGTCTTAGTTAGACTCTAAAAGCCTGAGCTGCAAGCCAGGTAAAATGATGTTCTTGAGGATTTTGTCATTTTGTCATTTCCAATAGGGAAATGGCAACAGAGTCCATCTTGATACATCTGTCATGCACTAAAGTGGGTGGGGGGTGTTGATGGAAGCGAAAGGTCACCTCCTGCTTCGCCCACTCCCCCCCCCCCCCCTCCCGCCCTCCTTCTCTTACTTGTTGCAGCTAATTGTCCTACAGAAGGCGAAGGTCGAGAAAGGGTGTGGACATTGGACCTTTCAGCAGCGAGTCGTGTAAACGCTGCTTAGTCACTGGCAGGATCGATTCAGGACATCCACGCGGGGTAATCCATGCCCCCTGCCCCCCAGAGGGCAGATCTTCTGAAGTGAAACTTCCCTAACGTCCTGATTGCTAGAGTGCTGTTTATTCCCCCCCCCCCCCCATATTTCTCCCTCGGCGCCTCTGCCCCAAGCAGTCATCTCTCTCTCCCCGCCAGCTGAAAAGTGAAGCCCTCTCTCAGGACGGGAGTGCTTCACGTGTGGCTATAATGTTTCGATTGTTCTCAGCAGCTAGGGGTTTCAATGGCAGGGAGCTTGCCAAAGAAATGCAATTGTTTGAGACATATGGAAAAAACGAATGCTTTAATTGCTCATTAGGAAAGACGCAGGCGATAGCGATGTAGGGTCAGCGTAGAATGCTTATTGTCAGCGATTAGACAGTGTTTAGCTTGCTGATGTATGTGAGAAGTCTGTGCTGCTGAAATGAAGTCTGATCTCAGGATTAATCAATACTGTATAATTATGATAATGTTTCATATTTAATTTAAGTCTGTTTCTCAATCTATTTAAGTCTGTGTGTAGAAAGACTATTGTTTTGTTTATTTATGCCTGACGTTATCAGCAGAAGGAAAGCTTGTTCATCTTCAACATGCACTTCATTAAAACACAGAATCACTCTTGATAGTTTGTGTCTCTGGCACATGTACGCTCATTCATTCCAACCTGCTGACTTCTTGTTACGACATTTATTTATTGTGCATTTGTGTAGGACTTGTATTTAATCAGTTTTTGATGGATTGTATTTATGTACTGACTGAACTTTCTCTGTGAAGGCTAAAGGTTTAATAAATGAATATCTGACTCCCTGAGAATTCTTGGCTCGTGACTGATTTAGTTTAGCCAGTGGGAGATTGCCAGTGGCACAAAATTGATAAGCTGTAATGTGTGCTTATGTTCTGCATGTAAGAAACACCCCATGCTATCTTTAGCCCCGTTTCTCTCCAGGGAGGGGTTGGAGAAACACTGCCTTAAGCTAATACTGTGCTGTTATTATTGTTTTCATTGCAGAATTGCCTTGTAACCACAGTATCAGATTATCTGTGTGACTGTACGAAGGCCTGCGGAAACAATGAATAGCCTGCATTACAGTGCTTGGTGTGTCTTGTCAGTCCTCTTTAGCATCCCAGTATACAAAAAGTCACCCACCAACATTTTTGAACAATTTTTTTCCAAAGGTGTTCTATCTTAATTCTTACTTAATTTAAAAGGAAAAAGCACTAGCAATGAAATAATTGGAATCAGAAATATGTCAAGAATGCAACTGCTCAGAGCACAGCAATCAAAGCTGTGGGTCCCTGCCAATGGGTGTGGTGGGATTTGTTGCTCGTCTTCGCTCGGGAATCAAGCACGGATGGCCGTCTGCTCTTCCCACAGATTTTCGGTGGTGGAGAAGTCAAGACTTTGACACGCAGCCCTTAAGCCTCTCTCGTCTCGGTTGTGCCTGGCTCCAGCTTCAGGGCTTCTCTCACACCCCCATTAGTTCGGCCTCGTGTGACCCAGACGTCACCACAGACATGTTAGCCCAGCAGGCATGATTGGGCTTCCAGACTCCAATAGCAGGAAGCTGCTTTCTCTGAAGTTAAGGTGTCTGTTGTTTACAACTGCATAGATGTTTACAGATAGCAAGTTGAGCAGTGGCACTTCAGTCTGAGGGTAAACAGCTGTTGCTAGTTATGTGGGGTCACATAATCTCCCCCCCCCCCACAGCACCGCTGTAGAAACTGAATGGAAATGCTTCCCCATGGTGGCGCTTCACAGGTGAATCACGTTCAATGTGCAGGACGCAGGACAATGACCACCTCGCACAATGAGAGTGAACGGCAGCTTGTTTGGCACACGAAGCTGCACTGTGCACGCCACAATTCTGATTTGCAAACAGACACATGCTGACTGTGTAACATGCTCATGTTCAGCAGGACAATGCTGGGCTTGTGTGTCTTTTCTCTTCTGCAGCAAAGGGCTTCAAAGTAGCAAAGATGGACTGGCATAATAATGATAATAATAAATATACAAGTTACAGGCAGGCCCCAGGTTAAGGACTGCCATAAAGCCTAATATATTCAATATCCAAGTGAAATACAACGGTTTGTAATAAAGAATGCGTGAAAACACCATATGTAGTTACTTTTATTGTTACTGTGTCATTGTTATTATGTACTGTACCAATATTGTTCCCACATACCTACAATTTCGACTTAAAGGCCGACCTAGGGAATGCATCTCGTTCATAACCTCAGGACTGGCTGTACTTACTCACAACATTGTTTCTTTCAAGACAGAGTTTTTAGTTCAGGTTTTGCTGAAAGGCCCGCTATCACATTCTTCTGATCAGCCTGAATTCACTAAAGGTCAGCAAAACATCAGGAACAAAATGCTAAATTTGGAAATGAACATTGTTGTTTTCTTCTGGTACTCCGGATTCTACTTACAGTCCATTCACATATTTTTAGGGAATTTATGTCTCCAAATTGATCTGGTAGGCATGCTTTGCAATGGACTGAGATTCCATGCAGAGTCTCCTGTTCTCTGTGCATTCCAGGAAGTACTCCAGGTTCTCTGTGCCCTGGCATTATAGAAGCATGGTTGGAAAGCTGCCGTACATCAACATGTTGGCATGTCAACAGGATATTTAACGGTGACCTATGGAGACATGCAGAGCCACAGAGAAGCAGGTAAAGGACGCACACCATGACCCTTATAAGCCACTAGTCCAGCTTCATAAAGGTGAAGTAGTTTGTGTTTGGTTTTTCTCTTTTTGAGTGCAGTTCTTTACCAGTAGGGATCCAGTCCTTTGCAAGTAGGGATCCAGTCCTTTGCAAGTAGGGATCCAATCCATTACAAGTAGGAATCCAACTCTTTACTAGTAGGAATCCAGTCATTTACCTATTGGGACCTGATCCTTTACTAGTAGGAATTCAATCCTTTTACTAGTTGGAATCCATCCCTTTATTAGTAGAGATCCAGTCCTTTACCACCAGGAATCCAGTTCTTTACAAGTAGGAATCCAGTCTTTTACCAGTAGGGATCCAGCGCTTTACAAGTAGGAATCCAGTACTTTACCAGTAGGGATCCAGCCCTTTACAAGTAGAAATTCAGTCGTTTACCAGTAAGGATCCAGCCCTTTATCAGTAGAGATCCAGTATCTTTACCTGTAGTGATCTAGTTTGGAATCCGATAACGGGCATGTTGGTAAATTGCTGTCTCTAAACCCAGGAAATTAAAAGGCAATAATTTATCAGGCCACATGATTTGGGCTATAGTAGGAACTCCCAGCAAAGCCATTCAAACTCCACCTTCCCACAGGGGCAGTGTTTGAATGCTAACCGTGGATGTGCAAGGCTACTGTGTTACCTGTACAGCTACTGTGCCACCCTACAGAGCAGGAACAGCCAAAGACAGAGGACAGGGGAATCCCCGCACAGTAACATGTGAACGTGCCACCAAACGGCAGACGGCTCTTGCTGCTCAAACCAAGGGCCAAGGAGTAAATCCGCATCTCTTTTGTGTGACATAAGAAGGGCCTTCTGGCATTTTATCTTTTCAAGGTGCCACATCTCTTTGTCTACCACCCGTTTGTTTATCCAAGAGACAGAAACAAGATTGCAATCACAAACTCTCGTCTGGGTACTTGTTGCAGTTTCTGGGAAATCAGCATGTGACTTTCCCTTCTTTGGGGGTGGGGTGGGGGGGGGTCTTTCCTCCTCTGCTCCTAACCAGAGCCCATAAATAATGCCGTTTTATTGTTGCCACAGGGTTGAAGACATAACAAAGAAAATAATTAACTTTAATTCATGTGAACGGGAGTGGAAAGCCAAAAGCTTCTGAGTGTTGATGGATGGTGTGTATGGAGAGACTGTAATCATATTCGGTGGCTGAATGCTGGAAGACTTTACGCTGAGTTCAAGTCAGATTCCGGTGATGGATGTGGCATTACTGAAATACGCTGGTGTTTGCTAAGTATTAGCTATCTTTAGCCTTTTCTTTGTAAGTGTCTTATCTTTTTGGTCTTGTGCCTGCCAATGCAGAGCTAAGATTTTTGGTATGTGAAGTAGGGAAAGGGAGAGGTCATGCAAATGTTACTTTAATTGTGATCACTTTGCTGGGATGCAGTAAACATGTGTTTGCATCATGCATTATCTCTCTTGTATGCCTGTGAATCTTTTGATGTGATCTGAGCCGTGCCAGTCAAGCATGCAGCTGTCCTGTCCCATCCCACCCTGTCCCATCCCATCCTGCCCCGTCCCATCACGTCCCATCTCGTCCCATCACGTCCCATCACGTCCCATCTCGTCCCATCCCATCCCGTGCCATACCTGCCCTGTCCCACCCCATCCCGTCCAACCCCGTCCCTTCTAGTCCCATCATGTCCCATCCTGCCCTGTCCCGTGCCATCCCATCTCATCCCATCCCGTCCTGCCCCGTCCCACCCTGTCCCGTCTCGTACCATCTCGTCCCGTCTCATCCCATCACGTCCCATCCCGTTCTATCCCGTCCCATCCCGCCCCAATGCCGTCCCATCCCGCCCCGTCCCACCCCGTCTCGTCCCATCCCATCCAGCCCTGTCCTGTCCCCGCCAAGGGACGGTCAGCTGACGTTCCTCTTGCCTGTCGCTCGGCTGCTGCCTGATGCCCGTGTGGCAAGCTGACACTGCCCCAGCCATGCTACTAGCAAGCTTATGCAAGCTCACCGTTCCTCCGGCTCTTTGGGCTGAGAGAGAAAAACAGGATGCTTTTCTCACATTCTTGTGACATTCCTACCCCCCAAAGAGGGAAAAAGAGAGAGAGAAAGAACATAGGAAAACAGAAGCATACTGGGTCTCAATAATGAGGGCTGATATGGAGTTTACAGAGGTTGATAAAGGGTGATTAATGGCTGGATTGTCTTTGACATTGTTTGTGTTGTTCCTCTCTCTCCCCCTGTTCCTCTTTATTGTTCCCTGACGAGTATGTGAGTCTGTGCATGTATATGTGTGTGTGTGTGTGTGTGTGTTGTTTTGTCCCAGCAGTTGGATCCCAATGCAGAGGGGTGCCTCCGATTACAGTAGAGGCCAGTATCGGAACATTCCGTCTCTTCCTGGTTTTGTTCGCCATGAGTGGTGCCGATACCCCCCCATGCTCGTGAGATTCCAGAGCCCCTCTGCCTTAGTAGTGGGCCAAGCTGAATGGGTGCTAATGT